CCCCCCCCCCCCCCCCAAAATCTTACATTCTCAAAGCGCTACGCAGTCGGTAATAGTTCCATGTTTAAAGACATCGACGACAGTTGGGGATGACGACGACGAAATCGGTAGGGGTTATTGCGGTTTGTGCACTCGGTAATATGACAAAGGTAAATACGTTGGTTATTTGTTGTTTGGTGGATTGATGGCAGTTGATGACGTTGACGAAAGCGTCAATGACATCAAATAAATTAAGGATTTCAGTTCGACGGGAAATTGATTGAGGAAAGTGTCGTGGGGAAAGTGGTGTGTGAAAGTGGAAGTCTTAGGTTTTTTGTTTTCAACTTGACGTGTGTTTTTTTTTCTAAAGTAATGCTAGACAACACCTCTAGAATACTTCTGTCAAGCCTCTTATGTACATGTAGTGGCATTGATTGGCGATTACTATTTTCTTTTCAAATTTAGAAAATATATAATATAATTTACACATCAATTTTAAGATGAGATAAATTTAGGAATGACAAATGGATCGAGCTACACGTGACTCACAGATTTGTCCACGCCTTTGCATGGCCACTCGTCCCGAGCCGAAGTCTAGTGAGTCAGGCCTATGCGCCACCTCGTCCTGATCTCGTGGGTTGGCTTGGAAAATGAGCCAAGGAATTGAGCGGAGCCTTAGGGGCCATTGCCACCACTAGCCGAGTGGCACGCAAGTAATTTCTCCAAAACGGAGTCCCACTATCAAATCGATTCTTATCATCTATGCCTTGCACAGAAAAGACATACCCAAAATCCCGAAGGACATCTGTACACTCCAATGGCGTTATCCCTGGCGCTTTTACACTCAGCCGCATCCACATTCCACAGCCAGTTCCCGCTAACGTCCATCCGGGTGCCGGCCTCCGCACTCCGCTCTCGGTCCGGTGGCTTGTCGGTTACTATCTATTGCACTTGTCATTCAGGCATCTTCACAACATTCTATGTGAACACCGTTTGCGTATTCAACTCTTGTTGGTTAGTATACTTAGCCCTTATTTGAGCCACATTTTTGGTTAATAATGAACACTATTCATGAAGGCATTTTTTTCAAGAAATTGGGCTTAAACAAGCCCTTAGTTTACAATGATTATTTGTTACAAGATTTAATTGAGTTGTTATTTGTTGTAGGGCGATGCAGACAGTCATGCATTTTCGAAACACTTGCCAGCCTCAAATTTGGTCCTTCTAATGTCAACAAATCTCACGTTCAATTCTAAAGGTTTACACATTTAAATCTTTGCATTTGCATTGAATTAGTATGTATACGCGTATTTAAATCATATTGTACGATAGGTAATTTAGTTCCACACTATCCACATTTCCCTCAAGAAGGTGGTACGCCTGGCCTATGAAGCAAGTGGAGTTCAAATGTTTGTAAGGCGCTATGGGTTTTGCTCGGCGGAAAGGAAATAGTTTGTTGTATTGTAACATAGGGAAAAGTTGGAGTTATTTAGCTTTTTAGGCTTCTCTGGACATGTTTTTTTCACTTTTTCTAGTTTGTTATTGAACTCGACTCTTCTACTTTTTATCTCTTAGTTAATGTAAAACATTTTGCAGATACTATGAGGATTTCGTTTCTTTTCTTTTACTGGATGTTGGAGATGGAAATTATCGAAAATGCACCAATTATTAAGTTTACTTTGCGAGTGGAAGTAGCTAGCAATTAGCAACAGGATTTAATGTACACCAAAAGTAATCAAGGAGCAACATTGCGAGTTACAAGATTTATTTCCCATCCTGTCATGATATTACAAACCTAACAACATAACTAGAAAACTGCAATAACGAATATAACTACTCATCTTGCGGCCCCTTCCTTTTCCATTATGTCCGAGGGCTCTTTATCCTTACGAAATGTCACATTTAACGAAATCTCAAGGTTTCGTTTCTCAGTTATTCGAGCTAGACTTTTGAACATGCTTGGCTGTCAACTTCCTTTTTGGCAGTATGATTCATTGTTTCGTCAATGGTGCTCGACTCACCAATCGCTTCTTCTTTTTTTTACCCAATCAAAAAATCCGCAGTCAATACTGCAAGTTTTGAATAGCCGTCCTTTGTTATTGTCCTCCTTTACAACCTCAAAACATTTCTGGATTCCATCTACGTACCATAGACAACGAAGGTTTCTATTGAATTCTTCGAAGAGGTGATATGTGCTTTTACAGTTATGACAAACACCATAATTCTAGCCACTCATCCCTACATGGGAAACAACCACATGTATCTAAGTTAGTATACATATGATCCTTAAAACAATGATCAGTAATATGTTGGTTCCAGGAAATAGCAATAAATATAACTACCAGGTTATTACATTACACCATTTTTAAGTCAATTACAAAAAAATTAATCGAACTATAACAATTTGACATAAAATGAGATGGACTCATATACAAATGAGATTCATAGTGCAAAAGGTAGAGGCTGATGATATTGCAAGCTCGCTACTTACAATCTACCAACAGCACGCAAAGGCAATGTACATTGATGTTGATGTAAATTGCCAAGTTAAAAAACCAAACAAGGAAACACCTCAGATGAACGACACTTTAAAGAAGAGTAGAAGATGAGCCAACACGAATGTGACAAACGCAAAGTCTCCTTCAAAAGATTTTGCAAGCTCATTACTTACAATTTACCAACAACATGCAAATGCCGAACATATTGCAAGTAACACGGCAAACCAAACTACTAAAATTCTCCAGAGATTCCACTTCTAAATGTAGCTCGCTCCAATTTTGCAACAAGGGAAAATAACCTAACTGACTAAAATAAAGACACATTAAAATACAAACCAATCCCATTTCACAACTTTTCAACAAACTCATAAATGATCCCATAATTCTATGTTCAACGAAACGTAGCGGTCATTTGTTGAAAAAGCTAACAAATTTACATTTCCAAATCGTGTACTGGGTGCAGAAAAATCCATAAATAATTTGTTAAAAAAACCCCCAAAATCTTACATACTCAAAACGCTACGCAGTCGGTAATAGTTCCAAGTTTAAAGACATCGACGACAGCTGGGGATGACGACGACGAAATCGGTAGGGGTTATTGCGGTTTGTGCACTCGGTAATATGACAAAGGTAAATACGTTGGTTATTTGTGGTTTGGTGGATTGATGGCAATTGATGACGTTGACGAAAGCATCGATGACATCAAATAAATTAAGGGTTTCAGTTCGACGGGAAATTGATTGAGGAAAGTGGCGTGGGGAAAGTGGTGTGTGAAAGTGGAAGTCTTAGGTTTTTTGTTTTCAACTTGACGTGTTTTTTTTTTTAAAGTAATGCTAGACAACTCATCTAGAATACTTCTGTCAAGCATCTTCTGTACATGTAGCGGCATTGATTGGCGATTACTATTTTCTTTTCAAGTTTAGAAAATATATAATATTAATTTACACATCAATTTTAAGATGAGATAAATTTAGGAATGACAAATGGATCGAGCTACACGTGACTCACAGATTTGTCCATGCTTTCGCATGGCCACTCGTCCCGAGCCGAAGTCTAGTGAGTCAGGCCTATGAGCCACCTCGTCTTGAGCTCGTGGGTTGGGTTGGAAAATGAGCCAAAGAATTGAGCGGAGCCTTAGGGGCCATTGCCACCACTAGCCGAGTGGCACACAAGTAATTTCTCCAAAACGGAGTCCCACTATCAAATCGATTCTTATCATCTATGCCTTGCACAGAAAAGACACCCAAAATCCCAAAGGACCTCTGTACACTCCAATGGCGTTATCCCCGGCGCTTTTACACTCAGCCGCATCCACATTCCACAGCCAGTTCCCGCTAACGTCCATCCGGGTGCCGGCCTCCGCACTCCGCAGAGCCAGGCCACCGAACAGCCAATGCGCCATGTCATCTGTGGTCCTGGTAGAGAAAAGCGAAGCCGAGAAAGTCAATCGCCTCAAAACCACTTACATCGAGAAAATCGTCCCCTTGCTCAAAGAAGAGTTCAAATACACCAATGTTCACCAGGTATATAGCACGTTGCTCGGAATTTTTTTTCCCTAATTGCTGACAATAAGAAAGATAGATTTTTGTGGATTATTTTTTTCTTCGAATTACTGGTAAATAAAAATTGAAACTGCAAAATGGAATCAAATTTTCAGAATGTACGCATACATTATAGAATATAGCGAATTAACGTTTAGATATCTAGAACTAGTTAGTGAGAAATGTTTTGTATTAGGGTGTAAATGTGGCATATTTCACATATGTTATTCAGTAAATTTGAGTTTTGTTGTTAAGCTTCCTAACTTGCATTGACTTTAAGATAGGTTCCAAAAGTTGAAAAGATTGTGGTGAATTGCGGTATTGGAGATGCTGCACAGAATGCGAAGGGGTTGGAAGCGGCTATGAATGATTTGGCGCTCATTACGGGTCAAAGGCCGATAAAGACGAGAGCAAAGAATGCTATTGCTACCTTTAAGATAAGAGAAGGCCAACCGCTTGGAATTGCAGTTACTCTAAGAGGAAATGTGAGCTATTTACTTTGACTGCTGTTCGATGTCTTTTGTTTGTTATGCATTAAGTGATAAGATTTGCTTAGTTTACAATGCTAGTTTACCTTTAGCCAGGAGGATATACACAGACTGAGTTACGTTCATTCTGACCTCAAGAAATCTTAGGCTACTTTTGGCACACTGGATTAGACCGTACAAGAAATTATGCATAATAGAGGAGATGGTAAACATTCTTTTGAATAAAACGTTAAAAATTACTATCTGCCTTAACCCACCCAAATACTTCCTACATAGTATATCCACTTGTTTTTATACTTAATTCCTCGCATGGTTTAAAAAGGCGGTAGTGAGGCTCGCCTCACTGTGAGGCGCATGTAGTATACTTCAAGGCGATATTTTTGAGGCTAAAAATATGAGGCGCACGCCTCATTTGATTTTTTAATTGTATGAAAAGAAATCAGAAATGATCATTCTTAAAAAAGGAAAGGGCCCATTTGAAAATGCATTTTGGGCCCAAACAAAATAATAAAATACCTAGAAAGATGATGATGATTCCATTAACAATGCTAGTAATAGTGATGATAGTGCAGACTATTAGACTTTTTTTTTTAGTTTAAGCTGCTTCTTTTTTTCCATTGCAAGTGGAGTGATTTCTAACTTCT